AAAACCTGTATCAAAAGACAATAAAGCAATATAGATTGGCAATACGGAAGATGCCTTGACCTTCTTAAAAGACCGACATTTAAATATGCGGTTGGCATTACCTTTCCATGGTATAGGACTGTCTTTATTATGTTTGTGTTATATTGTTTTTCATTTTTAGCTCACCTGGCCTGAAGGGCCAAGTGAGCTTTTCTCATCACTTGGCGTCCGTCGTCCGTCGTCCGGCGTCGTCTGGCGTCGTCATTCGTCGTCCGGCGTCGGCGTTAACTTTTTACATTTTGAACTTCTCCTAGAGAACCACTGAATGGAATGAAACCAAACATGGCATGAATGTTCCTTATGAGGTGCTGACCAAGTGTTGTTACTTTGTAGCCGATCCATCATCCAAGATGGCCGCCAGCGGGGAACTTAGTTTATCATAGGACCCTATGGGAAATACATACAAATGTCTTCTTTTAGAGAACCACTGAATGGAATAAAACCAAACATGGCATGAATGTTCCTTATGAGGTGTTGACCAAGTGCTGTTTCTTTGCAGCCGATCCATCATCCAAGATGGCCGCCAGCGGGGGACTTAGATTAACATAGGACCCTATGGGAAATACATACAAATGTCTTCTTTTAGAGAACTACTGAATGGAATGAAACCAAACATGGCATAAATGTTCCTTATGAGGTGCTGACCAAGTGTTGTTTCTTTGCAGTATGTCCATCTTCCAAGATGGCCGCCAGCAGGGGACTTAGTTTAACATAGGACCCTATGGGAAATACATACAAATGTCTTCTTTTAGAAAACCACTGAATGGAATGGAACCAAACATGGCATGAATGTTCCTTATGAGGTGCTGACCATGTGTTGCTACTTTGTTGCTGATTTACTGTTCAAGATGGCCACCAGGATATTTTATTAAATAACGGGACCAATATTAATCCAAATTTGGCCTCAATCATTATTATTTTGGTATCTGTTATGATTTTTATCTATCTTTACATGATTTCTAAAACCAAAGTAGAGTCAGGTGAGCGACACAGGCTCTTGAGAGCCTCTAGTTTTATGATATTTTCAAATAGTTAACAGATATATGAAGTGTCATTTCAAAATTTCTTTACGACTTTATTGATAGTTAAGAACAACATTTAATTCCAAAAAAATATTACCCTATATATTTGTTAGCTGAATATTAATCACTATCATTCAACATCGATCGTTGTTTGTTCAGGGAAGCTCTAAACTATAAGACAGAGGTCTAAGCACGACATATAGAGAGAGGTAAGATAATTCCTTCATTATGAAAATGAGTATGATTGTCAATGAGACAACTATAGGACCAAGATGTGAAAAAACACAGTTCACAGTACGGCCTTCAACAATGAGCAAAACCAATACCGTATAGTTAGTTAAGTATTGTTTACATCCCAAACTGAAATAAACTTTAGCATGCTTTTACTCATTTTCGTCGTAATTAAAGATCCCGGAATTGTTTCATTTAAATTGTAATAGTTCGGTTAAATTACTCTATATTCCAATTTCGACACAAGAATGGTGTTAATGCTAAAATATATATTATTCTAACATGGATATTGTTTTGTTAAGTCTAATTTCATTTGTGAGTGTCATGGCAACCAAGAGTTTATACAGTTTTAACATCATGACATCACAAGTATGATTTCCGAAACAGTAAAAAAAGTATGTGTTGATTTTTTTTAATTGATTATAATTTAAGTGCATTATTGGAAGTTAATACAACTTATTTCTATGGAGTTTATTGATGTGTAAACTCGGTCAACATACTCGCAAATGTTAAGGTTAACCACCCCCCTTTTTAATTGGTAATTGTTAGGGGGTGTAAAAATCTAAAAAAAACTTTCACACTAACTCTTACTGTTTCATTATATTATTAGACATTCACATCCATATGGATAATGTCATTATGTCAATTTCTTATCACTATAATGTTCGAAAGTAATGTTCTTTCATAATTGTAGAAATGTAAAATTCGTTGGAAAGAGAATATAACATTCTTATTAAAATCTAGTTACTATCTATTTCAAAGTGTAAAACAATTTTGTGTTCATAAAAGTAAATATATTCAATTATTAAAAACTAAATTTCTTACCAACAATGCTACTGTGTATTTACCTAAAGCCCCAAGGGGGAAAATAATTATTAATTTTAACTGTATCAATGACAATACCTTATTCTAGAGCAGGTGTCTTCATTCTCCATTGTATAATTTATCTATCAGCAAGGATAACTTGTTATGGACCAAGATCAAGGTCAAGCTACAGTCGGTCTATTTCAAAGATTTTTACATAAATTGAATTAATAAAATTTCTCAGAATTGTACACATTGCACATAAAACTGTTGAAACATAAATCTCCTCTAAATTGTGATGTATAAGAATTCAAGTTAATGTCTTTATTGGTTTTTTTTTAAAATGAATTGTTACTGAAATAGAAAAACAAAACGTTGTAAATAAATAAAACTAAATACAGGGTAACCGAATTAGTTTTTGATGCATACAAGATGAATACTATTTTTTTGTTTCTAAATCTAAATCATGTATGTTGAGCGATATCAGATAAGTTCTGCTTTCTACCTACATACTTCGATGTTTAACTTGATAGCTGACACGGTAACAGTTCGTATAGGATGATATTTTAACCTACATACCCATGTTTTTGCTCTTACTTCTGCATAGTTTGGAGTTAGCAGAAAAGCAGCAAATACAAATATTTAGGTCTTGGTTTGAAGAAGCATCGTATGGTCTGAACGGAACAAATGCCTATACAAGTGGAATATTGAGACTGAAAATTGGACTGCTAACCGGAATATTGAGACTGATAATAATAAATTAGACTGCTAACGGGAATATTGACACTACTATACATTTTGCAGTTGCTAAGTATTTTATTTCACGTTGGACTGCTAACTGGAATATTGACACTACTATACATTTTGCAATCGCTAAGTATTTTCTTTCGCGTTGCCTTGTCTTCCATATATATATATATATATATATTTATATAGCACCAGTCTTATGGGTAACATGTATTTCCTTGTATCATATCACACTGGATGTAAAACGGATTTTGATTTTTGTTTTACTGTTTGGTCTTTGTAATGATGTTTCCAGACCTATCAGACTTTATGAAGCATTGCAGTTTCATATGATCTTAAAGGAAGGTTTGTTACAGATCATAGAGCTGTTGAATGCTTTTGCTTTTGTTGGTATAGTTGTCAGTGTACTTGGTACAAATTGGAAGTGGTCTTGTGTAGTTATGCCAGTTGATCACACTTCTGCACTCTCTTTGTCGTATTTTATTGTCAGATTGGATTTCAAACAAAATTTGCCTTCAAGTTGGGTCTGTTTTAATATTCTTAGTGTTGGTTGCATCATTAATCTTATCCATAAAACAGGTCACATGGTTTAAAACTCGGATATAAACCTTAAACTAAATCACTGTTACCTTCACCTTGTAATAGATGGTCAGTCTCTCCAATGTTAAACTAAATCACCGTTGCCTTCACCTTGTAATAGATGGTCAGTCTCTCCAACCTGAAACTAAATCACTGTTATCTTCACCTTGTAATAGATGGTCAGTCTCTCCAACCGTAAACTAAATTACTTTTACCTTCACCTTGTAATAGATGGTCAGTCTCTCCAACCTTAAACTAATTCACTATTACCCTCACCTTGTAATAGATGGTCAGTCCCTCTAACTTTAAACTAAATCACTGTGTCCTTCATCTTATAATAGATGGCCAGTCTCTCCAACCTTAAGCTTAATCACAGTTACCTTAGTCTTGCAATAAACTTTATTGAGACAAACTTAAAATATCTTGCTGTTTTTTTTTTATTTTATAGAAAATTAATTGAATGTTTCAATTATATTCTTTCTAAATTCTAGCCAGTTTCAGAGGATTATTCATAAAATGTAAGTGATATACAAATCTATCAAAAAGTTCAGAGATAATTATAGATTAATCAAGGATTTAAATTACAAATTTAAGACTGAAAACCTTGGTTTTATTGACTACTACCATTATAAGTGATTGATCCTTGCCATATATTACAGACAATTTAATTTGTTAACATACATTAGTGCATTCAATATATTTTCAAATAATGTAGCACAGCTTCAGTTGAAATGATCCTCATCAAGGATTTTAACAGTCAAAATAATTTTTTGTTACATGTATTTGCCTGTAATTATCTTTTCTTATTAGCATTATATAGAAGTGAACACTTTTTGATCCTGGTTTCCAAATTATGTGCTGTTTTTTATTACTGTAATTCAGAAATTTATGCGATTTTTGAAGGATGGACAAAAATGCAAGATTAATTATTGCAGTTCCAGGACAATCTGCATACAGATATATATATATATCAGATATCAGAATGCGAGTTCTTATTATTGCGATAATTACTCAGTCGCATTATTCGCAATTATAAAACACTGTGCAGATTTTTTGTTCTGCGTTTTACTTTTATGATATATATCCACATTGGCTAGAGGTAAAGGGGGAGAGTTGAGATCTCACAAACCATGTTTAAACACACCATATTTTTGCACCTATCCCAAGTTGGGGAACCTCTAGCCTTTGTTAGTCTTGTGGTTTTTTTTAATTTGGTTCATTTGTATGCATCAGAGTTTAGACTGGTATACATTTTTGTTTATGGGCCAGTTGATGCCTGCCTCCAATGCAAGATTTTCTTGCTGCATTGAAGACTCATTATACAGTATGGGTTTTTCTGGTTGTTGAAGGCTGTAGGGTTGCCTATAAATGCTTACATCCACTTCATTTGAACTGTGGTAGATAGTTTTCTCATTGGCAATCATACCACATCTCTTTATTTTTATATATACAATAAATTAATACCCCAATCTCCTAGTACTCGTAAGGGGACAACTTGTGCTGTTTGTTTTGATGGTTATGGAGGGAAGTGTAAGGTTTCAAAATAATGTTAATATGGATTACAATAAAATAGACATACAAATGTATATATGTTTAATATAAAATGACTGTATAAAACATAATGACTTCTAAAGTTTAAAAATACAATACAAGGAAAGTATCATTAAAAATTTTTCAAATTATATAGCAATCAAATGATAAAACTGATGCATTGTCAATAAATTAATAAAATGTTCATCTGTGCAAATGTTGTGGGAGAAACTACACAAAACTTATAGACCATTTGTATCATTAACTATACTAATGTTAAATTAAACATGATTTCAATCCCGTCAGAATCTGTTTTTTTTTATTCTTTCACTCCAGTCTTTTTAACACATAAGAGCTGCCATGTAAGTCTATGGTAAGATTTGTATCTTCTATATGTGAGTCTTCACTTGCAATATCTATCTGCTTTCATCTTCTCTCGTCTAATAAAAGTATAAAACATTCATTTACTTAGTACTTTGACCAATACATAAGAATGTATCTTTGATATATGAGACAAGGAACATTCATATATGGGTTAAGATTAAAAAATTATTAAAATATTCCTATACTATGGGTCATATATGTGGAAAATAGTGCCAGCTTCTAATAAATGAAATGCTTTTACAATTGCTCTTCACTTTTAATATAGAACTGGACCAGTCACTTTATACAACAATGTGTTTATGAGATATTGACCCAAAAGGAAAGTTTTCACTGATTAAATACCAGAAGCATACATTTAAAGTTTTTAAAGATATCCAGATAATATTCAGTTGTATTGTACTGTTTTAGAGAGATGAAGTTGTGAAAAATTTATATATATACTGAAGGACTTAAAAAACGCAACACTAGATTTTCATTTTCAAATATGCAATTCTTGTAATATAAATGTATAAACATAAATTTAATTCATTACTTCATTGTCAAAAAATTGTTTGCAGTTCGAAAATGGAATAGATTACGTCATGTTTAATGTTCAAATCATGTGGTATGCACTGAAACCATGGTTTTCCCAGTATGAATGGATGTGTCACCGTCAAAGGCAATGACTGCCTGTAACCAACGCCTAAATGATTGACAGAAAGGTCAACCAGTTCTGTTGGGCATGTTTTGAGTTCTGTTTTGTACCTTCTGATTTGGCCTCTGTCCCACCCATTACAGTGTGTTTTGGCAATTATGCGTTTTAAACTTTTGGACTTAAAATCTTTTTCTGCAGTCGATTCTTTAACATTTCAGTATATAGGAACCATTTATGGCGTGAATCTGTCTGCCATGGCTTGATTAGCAGTTGACGTTGCGGCCGCAAACATGTCTCGCAAGTGACATGCGTAATCAAATTTTATTGACGTGGTATTGTCACTACATATTGATCTGGTCATGGCTGGTCATCAACAACTCCCATCTGCCTGTACCATTGTTATAAGGACAGGAAGAGGAGTTTCTGACGTGAAATTGTCTAGCATCAGCACATTCACATATTCCTGGCTGCAATATTCTTATGGCCGGATTCAGATTTTCCTTGCTCAGTCTTGGCAATATGGAAATGCAACATGTTTTTACTAATGTACGTGTAGGTATGGATTGTAAGAAATGTTTCACGAAAAAAAAACCCATAAAAAATCATTCAAGTGTTTCAAATATCCCTTTAAGACATTTGTGCCACGTCAATAATACAGCATGTTCAATTACCTGAGGTAAGTCAGGTATTCAATTGTTCTAAGCAGAAGGAAGTATGGTACGTATGAATAGTAGCTATATTAAGATTAATTATAATTTGGTAAAAAAAATCAACAAAATATGAGTTGTGATTTTTAAGTCCGTCAGAATATAATTTAGTTATTACTAATAGAATCAATATTTGCTTACTAAGCTTGTTACTGGGTTTAGATTTTTACGTTTTCAAATATGTAAAGTGTCTTAAGATTGGATTATTTTTAACATGCTTAGTCTTTTTGTTTGGAGGTGGTTTTTTGTTCTTTCTTGACATGTCTTCCTTTGTGTTTTCTGTCTATAGCCAATTGCAACCTTTTCTTTTAATACCTAATGCAAAAGATATCTGAGGTTTTTGAAGTAGATGATTTTGCAGTTTTATAAGAAAGGCTTAGCTTCCTAGTTGAATGACTTTGTTTGCTTTCTGGAATAATAAATGTAGTACAACAAAGTCCATACCTGTCTAGCATACATTCATGAAGCGTGCCACCTTTCTTAGCCTTCTTTAAACTGCTCACATCTTCTGCACTTATTTTTAATTTTCTGTCTTGATAGCTTTGAAATTTCTTCCTGCAGAAGCAAGTTTTACAGCTGCTTATTCATAATTCAAAATATGATAATATTTACTGAAGGACATTTACAACTGAGTAATTACTACATGAAAACAGACTTATGGTGATTTAGAACTTGTCACAGTGTGTTGTATGTCTATTGTTGAGGACAATATGTTGACTTTCAGATTTCTATTTTAAGTAGAAACATGTTGAAAATAGAAGAGACTTCATGTAGGCCAAGGATTTTCCATTTGAAAGATAATGAAAAGGTCCAAATAAATTTTGACATGCTCAAAAATATTTTTCATTTTGATTTTCCCCCCAATATGACATAATTGTTTTTTCTATTTTTGGCATATTAATAATTAAGCCTGGTTTTAAATTAATGCTTGATGCAAAAATTAATCTGATAGCAACACAATGATGTCTTGAAAGTGTGATTCAATATATGGTAAAGGTCATATGCCTTAGCGTTTGAACATGTTTGATTACAAAACATCACTGACTTAGTCATTAAAGTGACTTTTATTAAACCAACTAATAACAAACTTTACCAAGAAAACACACAAAAAAGAATTCAAAGTCATTGAGCCATAAGTAAAAAGGCTGGACTATTAAAGTAATATTGAAGAAATGAAATGTATAAATATTAATGCAACTATATTGACTTAGCATAAGTGATACACTTGTGGTCTCTCCACTTTCATTGCAGATGAGACAATAAATTTAAACTAATTTCTCAATATTGAACAATTTAAAATGTAGTGTATTAACAGTGTGGATGATAGACATATAAAGAAACACAATATGGCACTTAAAGTGCATTCAGTAGGTTGTTATATACTTAACTTGATGGGATGTGTGTAAATCAGTTGTCTTCTCTCACACAAAGTTTTTACAGTAAATTCCTATTGTACAGCTTCTAATCTATTAAAAAGGACCTTTTAAAATGTAATACTGACTATACTATCTGATAAACTTACACATAATTTATTTCTGCATCTTTAATTTTGCCTCTCTCTTCAACAGGTATGTTTGCAAATGGGTCTGATTCTATATTTGCATTTAGTCTGATCTACAATTAATTTTTTTTTCATAATTTTTAAATAAAAATGTGGATTATCTCCCCTAGACTACAAAAATTCATATTATCAACAATTTTAAAAATACTTAAATTACTAGACATATATACAGAAATTATTTATAGATAATAGCTATAATATAATATAAAAAATTGTAATTATTTTTTTCATATGATTGTGTAGTTTTAAACATTTTTAACAACTACCAGTTAATGTTAGTTCCATGCTAGTAAAAAAACTTTCAAAACAAACTCATCTATTCACATCCATAACACAATATATTTCATGTTTTTAATGTAAAAGTGTGAGGGCTGTTCCAGAATTGCAGAATCAAATAGTATAAACTTTGATATCTGGGAAATAATTGGTGTCTAGAGGGACAATAAACTTGCTAGTGTCCTCATAGCCAGTAAATAAGTGTTCTATTATTCAGAAAGAAACTGGTATATATATTGTATATCCAAACAATGTATGGTTATTCTCTTTTAATGGCAAGTTTTACAACTGCTTCAAATGAAATATCTTGGGTAAACCATAATTTTTTAATTGAATGGAACAACGTTAAAATTCCCAGAACCTATATATTCTTTATTGATATCACAAATAAAACTATACGGAAACACATTGTTTATGTCATAATCAAGGCGATATTCGGGCAGTGACTGTATATCACAAATGAATGTAGGTCAATGTGATTTGACTGCATAAATAGCACAGTTGCAGAATAAACAATCATTCAGAAGTCTCGGGGACGAGTCAATTCAAACAATATAGAAAGTACGGGAAAAGGTTTGCTCATGGTTTTCCCGTACTTTCTATATCGTTTGAATTGACTCTTTTTTGAAACTATCAACCGGTATATAGTCTTTTTACAAGAAAATCGTTGCATCCAGTAAATGGTTCACCCAGTGAATAGTTTTGAAACTATTAACTGGTAAATAGTCATTTTTAGACAATTTTGTATAAACGGAAAATTTATTTGTCAATAATTTTACAAAGAAAGTACATACTGAGGTATAATAAATGTTACTATCTTACTTTAAGCATTTCACTTTCACCAGCTTTCTTACTATTGCAAACAATATCTCCATCATCATCATATGATAAAAAACAATTATTACTGCCATTCAATGCCATCCTACCCTGTAATTAGAAAGAACAAGTGAATCTGTGAGCTACTGCTCACTAATGACACCCCCGCCCGCTAAAAGTATAAGGTAAACAGGAAGTTGTTGAGTGATGAATCTGAAAAAGCATCAAAAAGTATAACGGACTCATATAAACCCTGAAACCAAATTTCAGAAATCCTTGTAATGTAGTTCCTGAGAAAGATGCGACGAAACATATTCATGGGACGGATGGACTGAAGGATGGATGGACGAATGGACAGACAGAGGTAAAACAGTATACCCCCATTTTTTTAAAGCAGGGGTATAATAATGATTATTTCTTATCAATATCCTAATATAATAAATTTTAAACTGAGCAGAACTTATTAGTAACATCACAATATGAAAGTATCAAGCTTACGACTTAGGACAACCAAGCATAAAACAGTGTAGGGGGATGATAAATAGATTATCTGGTTTGATGTGTATAGATATTTTAAAATATCAGCAGATAGACACAATGTGGAGCATTTTAGCTGGGCTTACTTGCAAATAAGGTTGACATTGTGGCTCCAAACTGATATTTTAGGAAATCAATGTGCAGCAAACCTGACAGTCATATGTATTATGACGTGAACAGTAAGTTTTTTACAATGATAAGATACTCTTTTTGTTCTCAAGTACTACACATTCCAAGTTAGCTTATTCTTCATTTTTGTATTTTGAAATTTGAAATCTGAATTTTATCTGTCTATTATAATTTTGGTTGTGAAGTATAAATTCTGACTAACCTCTTGAAAAACTGGTTCCCACTGTTCCCTTGCTCCTATAGCTTCAGCTCTTCCAATAACACCATCATCTGGGTCAATACTAAGGTATTTACCATAACCAGATTTCAATGCTATTTTTGTCTCATTAACTTTTACAGCTGTCAGTATTTCTATCGGATCTGGTTCCTCTCCTGCAATGATAAAGTCAAAATGAAGAAGGATACTCATTGTTTCATTGTTTTTATTACATTTGTGATCATTTGTGATTTTAATTTTTTGCACATGTATTGTTGACATTAATTTCATATAGTATGAAGCAGGCTTTCAAAAATTTCCAGAAACCAATCAGAAAATTGTCAAGGAAAATTTCTTCTGTCAAACATTCATTGTAAGTAAGTGTAGCTGTTGATAGAGCCATCCTCTCAAGATATCAGGTCAAAGGGTTAAATGCATATTAAAACTTTTACATCAAAATATCTGGATATGGGAGGGTAAGGAAGGAATTCCAAAACTTTCCCAAAACATTTTTTTTGGAAAATTTGCATTATACATCAAATGGACATACAATAAATTACCCACAACACATGTCCAAAAATAAGTAACCCTTCCTCTCTCCAACATCCATGTCTATGGAATAGCCTTTAACATGTTTAATGAAAATCTAAGCCATAAAATTTCAAATGATTGTGTATGATATATTAGGGTTTAAACATTGAAATTTTCATTATAAAAAAGAATAAAATGCTCCGCTGGGGCACAGCTTGATACGACCGCAGAGGTCGAACCCTGAACAGTTGGGGCAAGTATGGACACAACATTCAAGCTTGATACAGCACTGAATTTGGACTGTAATTAAATATTTGACACAGCATAGGTTTCTGACACAGAATGAATGTGGTCTAAGAACTTAAAATTTTTTAATTTACCTATTCAAACCATATCATTATTATTTGCTTTTATATATAAATCAGAAATAACCAATTTAAAATGGAAAATTTTAAAGAAAAAAAAAGGAAAAATTAATCCCCCCACAAATTTTTTGAACCTCCTTATGATTCATCACCCCCAAACTCAATCCCAGCCTTCCCTTTGTGGTATGGTACCTTGCAGTACAATTTCATAGAGATCCATACACTTGAACACAAGTTATTGTCTGGAAACTAGAAAAATGCTTGTTTTTTGGCCCCATATTCCTAAACATTTAGGGCAATCACCCCCAAACTCAAACCCAGCTTTCCCTTTGTGATATGGAACCTTGTATTTCAATTTCATAAAGATCCATACACTTACACACAAGTTATTGTCCTGAAACTAGAAAAATGCTTGTTTTTTGCCCCTTTTTGGCCCCTAATTTCTACAATTTTGAGGCAATTACCCCCAAAATCAATCCCAGCCTTCACTTTGTGGTATGGTACCTTGCAGTATAATTTTAGAGAGATCCATACACTTGAACACAAGTTATTGTCTGGAAAATAGAAAAATGCTTATTTTTGGCCCCTTTTTGGCCCCTTATTCCTTAACGTTTTGGGCAATTACCCCAAAAACTCAATTCCAGCTTTCCCTTTGTGATATGGAACCTTGTGGTACAATTTCAGAAAGATCCATAGACTTACACACAAGTTATTGTCCTGAAACTAGAAAAATGCTTGTTTTTTGCCCCTTTTTGGCCCCTAATTTCTACAATTTTGAGGCAATTACCCCCAAAATCAATCCAAGCCTTCACTTTGTGGTATGGTACCTTGCAGTATAATTTTAGAGAGATCCATACACTTGAACACAAGTTATTGTCTGGAAAATAGAAAAATGCTTATTTTTGGCCCCTTTTTGGCCCCTTATTCCTTAACGTTTTGGGCAATTACCCCAAAAACTCAATTCCAGCTTTCCCTTTGTGATATGGAACCTTGTGGTACAATTTCAGAAAGATCCATAGACTTACACACAAGTTATTGTCATGAAACTAGAAAAATGCTTGTTTTTTGCCCCTTTTTTAGCCCTTAATTCCTAAAATTTTGAGGCAATTATCCCCAAAATCAATCCCAGCATTCCCTTTGTCATATGGAACCTTGTGGTACAATTTCAGAAAGATCCATACACTAACACACAAGTTATGTCTGGAAGTTACAAAAATGCTTATTTTTGGCCCCTTTTTTGCCCCAAATTCCTTAATGTTTTGGGCAATTACCCCCAAACTCAATTCCAGCTTTCCCTTTGTGATATGGAACCTTGTAGCACAATTTCAGAAAGATCCATAGACTTACACACAAGTTATTGTCATGAAACTAGAAAAATGCTTGTTTTTTGCCCCTTTTGTAGCCCCTAATTCCTAAAATTTTGAAGCAATTACCCCCAAAATCAATCCCAGCATTCCCTTTGTGATATGGAACCTTGTGATACAATTTCAGAGAGATCCATACACCAACACACAAGTAATGTCTGGAAGTTACAAAAATGCTTATTTTTGGCCCCTTTTTTGCCCAAAATTCCTTAATGTTTTGGGCAATTACCCCCAAACTCAATTCCAGCTTTCCCTTTGTGATATGGAACCTTGTAGTACAATTTCAGAAAGATCCATAGACTTACACACAAGTTATTGTCATGAAACTAGAAAAATGCATGTTTTTTGCCCCTTTTTTAGCCCCTAATTCCTAAAATTTTGAGGCAATTACCCCCAAAATCAATCCAAGCATTCCCTTTGTGATATGGAACCTTGTGGTACAATGATAGAGAGATCCATACACTAAAACACAAGTTATGTCTGGAAGTTACAAAAATGCTTATTTTTGGCCCCTTTTTGGCCCCTAATTCCTGAACTGTTGGTACCATAACCCTCAAAATCAATCCCAACCTTCCTTTTGTGGTATTGAACCTTATGGTAAAATTTCATAGAGATCCATTCACTTAAACTAATGTTAGAGTGCGAAAACCAATGTGTCTTCGGAAGACGACAACGCCGGACAACGACAACGCCAACGTCATACCAATATACGACCACAAAATTTTTTTGCGGTTGTATAAAAAATAAGTAACCCTTCCTCTCTCCATCATCCATTTCTATTGAATAGCCTTTAATGAAAATCTATGCCATAAAATTTCAATTATTGTGTATTATATAGTAGGGTTTAAACATTGAAATTTTCATTATAAAAAAAGAATAAAATGCTCCGCAGGGCGCAGCTTGATACGACCGCAGAGGTCGAACCCTGAACAGTTGGGGCAAGTATGGACACAACATTCAAGCTTGATACAGCTCTGAATTTGGATTGTGATTAAATATTTGACACAGCATAGGTTTCTGACACAGAATGAATGTGGTCTAAGAACTTAAAAATTTTAAATTGGACATTCACCTATTATGGTCCAATATCCAAAATCTAAATACATGGTTAGATTCAGCATATCAAAGAACCCCAAGAATTCAATTTTTGATGAAATCAAACAAAGTTTAATTTTGGACCCTTTTGATCTCAATGTGGACAAAGTTGATAATGGGGCCCAAAAATCAAAAATCTAAATACATGGTTAGATTCAGCATATCAAAGAACCCCAAATATTCAATTTTTGTTGAAATCAAACAAAGTTTAATTTTGGACCCCGATTTGGACCAACTTGAAAACTGGGCCCATAATCAAAAATCTAAATACATGTTTAGATTCAGCATATCAAAGAACCCTAAGAATTCAATTTTTGTTAAAATCAAACTAAGTTTAATTTTGGACCCTTTGGACCTTAATGTAGACCAATTTGAAAACGGAACCAAAAATTAAGGATCTAAATACACGGTTAGATTCGGCATATCATAGAACCCCAATAACTAAATTTTTGATGAAATCAAACAAAGTTAAATTTTGGACCCTTTGGACCTCAATGTGGACCAATTTAAAAATGGGGCCCAAAATCCAAAAACTTAATACACGGTTAGATTCAGCATATTAAAGAACCCCAAGAATTCAAGAATAAAACCCCATTGAAATTGATCAAGAAATAAGCAATTTATACGAAGTATCTTCTTTTGCACAATACTGTGCAATTGAATATTTCTTGCTATTGCGCAATACTGTACAATTGACAATTTCTTGCTATTGCGCAATATTGTGCTATTGGATATTTCTTGCTATTGCGCAATACTGTGCAATTGAAGATTTCTTGCTATTGCGCAATACTGTGCAATTGAAGATTTCTTGCTATTGTGCAATACTGTGCAATTGAAAATTCCTTGCTATTGCACAATACTTATTATATAATAATTTACACATCCTGTTTGGTGTGTATCTCCTACCATATCATTATTATTTGCTTTTAAATATAAATCAGAAATAACCAACTTAAAATGGAAAATTTTAAAAGAAAAAAAAAAAAGGAAAAAAAGAAAAAAAAAGAAAAAAAAAAAAATCCCCCCCCCCAAATTTTTTGAACCCCTTATGATTCATCACCCCCAAACTCAATCCCAGCCTTCCCTTTGTGGTATGGTACCTTGCAGTACAATTTCAGAGAGATCCATACACTTGAACACAAGTTATTGTCTGGAAACTAGAAAAAATGCTTATTTTTGGCCCCTTATTCCTAAACGTTTCGGGCAATTACCCCCAAAATCAAATTATTGTCTGGAAGTTACAAAAATGCTTATTTTTGGCCCCTTTTTGGCCCCTAATTCCTTAACTGTTGGTACCATAACCCCCAAAATCAATCCCAACCTTCCTTTCGTGGTCTTGAACCTTATGGTAAAATTTCATGGAGATCCATTGATTAGAGTGCGAAAACCAATGTGTCTTCGGACGACGCCAGACGACGACGACGACGACGACGACGACGCCAACGTCATACCTATATACGACCAAAAATTTTTTAATTTTTGCGGTCGTATAAAAAGCATTTGAATAAAGAATATGCATTTCATTGCATTATAAGAACTTTATAGGGTCTGTCAAGAGTGATTGTGGATGGATATATTTAATAACTCTTGTAAAACATTCTAGTGTTTTGAGAGCAAACTTTAAAGTAGATTTAAAAAATAAAAACAATTTCGAACTATTTTATGCATTTGATTAAAAAAAGAAGAGCATCTGATTAAACTGGAAATAAAAAAGTTATTTTCAACCACCAATTTTAGTAGTTTTGAAAATTCTTTATGCCTATCCATTCTCTATACTGTTTCATAAAAGAGCCAAATGTTGAAGTTTATGTCAATTTCATTGCCATGCTGTAGGTACCAACCTTCATCCCTAGGTGGTCCCAGTTTAAATCTGCCATTATCTTGAGCAGCCAAATATCTCATATCACTCATCTCTATAGCCGTGTTACCAGATATGTCATCAAACTTCTTAGCTAACCACCAGCCACCTGAAATAATAAATCAAATTCTAAGTTTATCCCAGGTGTTTAAGGGTTTTTTCCAATAGTATTCTGTGTAAAATTTTGTGAAATTTCTTTTAATTTTTTTTTTTAAATTTGTCCATGGTGTTGCCAGTCCTTTGACTTATGATTTATTATTGTCTCTTTGTACTTTCTTTTTTTTTCATACAGTTCCATTGATTTTTTCACCATTATAGGGCCTCTGTGTCAGAGAAGTTTATAGACTGTTTAGGTACATGTAGTTGGTAAGTTTTTTGTTCAGTCTATTGCCACTAAGAGGAGGAATTTTGGACTACATTTGTAAATTTGAATTTCTGATTTGTAATAACTTTTCTTCTGTTACTGGTCAATGTTCAAGATTTACTACCAAGCACTCAAGTCCACTCTTTCCTTACAAAAATCTCTGATCTAAGTAAAACTACCCAAATGTGCACAGAATTTTTCCTTAAACTCCATCATGTCCATGAAACTAAACAACAATGTTACCATGGATACAATGATTGCTATTTAAGGATGTTTGCTCCTCTTGTTTTTGAATTTTTGCCAGATATTCTGAATCCTCTGCTTTTATCCATGTAGTGCCATTACTAGAGGCTCTAAAGAGTCTGTGTCACTCACCTTTGTCTCTGTGCATATCAAACAAAAGACACTCTCCAACATTGTAGACGAGAATAGACTTCATGACAAAAATCTGTATTTTGTTGATCTTGTATTACTGATCTTTGAGTCTGTTTAGTCTCTCTCTATCTTCTTTAGTTTTTGCTCAAAACACATGAGGGTAAAACAAATCCTCATTGAAGGGCAATCACTCCTATGAACATGATGAAGAGTGACAGTCTACTAACTATATCGGCAAAATTTGACTTTTTAATAGATCTTGCCTTGCTGATCATTTTTGTGATTTAAAGTGTTTATTTATCTATTATAATTAAAATCATATAAGGCATAACAGAAAAAAATGTTTCTCTCTAAATATCATATTTCGTGATAATAGGCAAAAACGAAAAAAAATGGTAAAATTTGTCAATATTAGGCAATAACTCCTATAAGAATTTGTCTAACAGTTTTGACATATATCAACAATTGGTAGAGCTCATTATTCTGAACATTTTTGCTCCCTTCAGATTTTCTCTATTTATAACGGTTCAAAAAATAACAGACAAAACTTGCATTTTACCCCTATGTTCTACTTTTAGCCATGTCGGCCATATCGGTTGGTAGGCAGAGTCATTGGACACATTTTTGCTGTTTACAGTTTATGTCTATCTATAATAATATTCAAGATAATAACCAATAAAATGCTCCGCTGGGGCGCAGCTTGATACGACCTCAGAGGTCGAACCCTGAACAGTTGGGGCAAGTATGGACACAACATTCAAGCTTGATACAGCACTGAATTTGGATTGTAATTAAATATTTGACACAGCATAGGTTTCTCACACATAATGAAAGTAGTCTAAGAACTTAAAATTTTTTAATTTACCTATTCAAACCATATCATTATTATTTGCTTTTATATATAAATCAGAAATAACCAATTTAAAATGGAAAATTTTAAAGAAAAAAAAGGAAAAAAAAAATCCCCCCCCCCCCAAATTTTTTGAAACCCCCTTATGATTCATCACCCCCAAACTCAATCCCAGCCTTCCCTTTGTGGTATGGTACCTTGCAGTACAATTTCAGAGAGATCCATACACTTGAACACAAATTATTGTCTGGAAACTAGAAAAATGCTTGGGTTTTTTGCACCTTTTTGGCCCCAAATTCCTAAAATTTTAGGACAATTACCCCCAAACTCAATTCCAGCTTTCCCTTTGTGATATGGAACCTTGCAGTACAATGTCATAAAGATCCATACACTTACACACAAGTTATTGTCATGAAACTAGAAAAATGCTTGTTTTTTTGCCCCTTTATGGCCCCTAATTCCTAACATTTTGAGACAATTACCCCCAAAAACAATCCCAGCCTTCCCTTTGTGGTATGGTACCTTGCAGTACAATTTCAGAGAGATCCATACACTTGAACACAAGTTATTGTCTGGAAACTAGAAAAATGCTTATTTTTGGCCCCTTATTCCTAAACGTTTTGGGCAAGTACCCCCAAACTCAATTCCAGCTTTCCCTTTGTGATATGGAACCTTGTAGTACAATTTCATAAATATCCATACACTTACACACAAGTTATTGTCATGAAACTAGAAAAATGCTTGTTTTTTGCCCCCTAATTCCTAAAATTTGGAGGCAATTACCCCCAAAATCAATCCCAGCATTCAAACCCTCAATCAGCATCATTTAACAGTAATATCTAAAAATGGAAATTACATAATAAAGGTATTAAAATAGAAAATGACATCATAGTCATGGCTAAAAATAAACAAAATCCTTAATCAGCAACATTTTACAGTAATATCTAAAAATAAAATTCCTTTGTAACCATAAAAGCCCATTTAAATACATCATGACAGATAATAAAATAGAAAATGACATCATAGTCATGGCTAAACATAGCAAATACCTTAATCAGCATCATTTAACAGTAATATCTAAAAATAAAAATTTCTTTGCAACCATAAAAGTAAAATAGAAAATGACATCATAATCATAGCTAAAAATAAACAAAATTTTTTTTTATTACCAAATTTTAAATGGAGTTTATTAAACTAAAACAATAAATTTGCAACCATAAAACCCCATTTAAACACATCATAAAAGTATTAAATAATTCAACTACATCATAAGGCTATAAAAATAGAAAATGACTTCATAGTCAAGGCTAAAGGTAAACAAATAAACTGCTTCGCTGAGCGCAGCTAGATACGCCCGCAGAGGTCCAACCCTGAACAGTTGGGGCAAAAATGGACACAATATTCAAGCTTGATTCAGGTCTGAATTTGGATTGTAATTAAATATTTGACATATTATAGGTGTCTGAATAAATGTATTCAAAGAACTTGAAATTGGTTATATGAATTGAATTTATGTTCAATTAAAGATTTCTTGCTGTTGTGCAAAATACTTAGTAAATCTGTTGTCAGACTATAAACAAATAAAGTATAATTAATTCTCAATGTCATATTAGAAATTTATGAAAATAAAAAGGGAGCTTACATCAATAGATATAAACAATTCACCAAAGTTTCATGAGAATTGGTGACAGCATTTTTGAGTTATTGTCAGAAAACTGGAAAATCACCCCTTTTTAATGAATAAAACCCCATAACGTAAAATCTAAAATTTTTAAAAATCAAAAGGGAGCTCATGTCAATAGATATAAACAATTCACCACAATTTCTTGCAAGTTGGTGAAAGCATTCTTGACTTATTGTCCGAAAACTGGAAAATCCCCATTTTTTTAATGAATAAAACCCCATAACTCGGAAACGTAAAATCTAAATTTTATAAAAAACGAAAGGGAGCTCACGTCAATAGATATAAACAATTCACCAAAGTTTTATGCAAATTGGTTTAAGCAATTTTGAGTTAATGTCCGACATGTTGACGACGGACAGACGGACGGACAGACGGACAGACGGACGGACAGACGGACAACGGTATACCATAATACGTCCCGTAAACGGGCGTATAAAAACCTTCATCAGCAAAATTTTATATTGGCAAATTTCCAATGAAGTTTATTATACTAAAATTGTTGGCAAATTTCCAATGCATTTATTAACAATAAAGTTATTGGCAAATTTCCAATTTACATAATTTAAAAGCAGTGTAAGTGAGATATTTAAATGAGTTTGAATTACCAACCTTACACTGCTTTTAAATAATGTTTTGTACTTATTTGTCTATTAACCTGGAAACCCTTGTTTTTTCACCTTTTTTTCCCTTATTATTTAAAGGTTTGAGCCATAACCCTACCCCAAAGCCAATTCTTAAATTCCAATGTAACCTAAATTTACAATATACATAACTTCAATTTAAGTTTTTGATAAAATCAAACCACATCATTATTATTTGCTTTTATATCTAAATCAGAAATAATTAACCAACTTTAAGTGGAAAATTTTCACACATCACGCCCCCCCAAACTCAATCCAAGCCTTCAGTTTGTGGTATGGTACCTTGCAGTACAATTTCACAGAGATCCAATTACTTAAACACAATCAATTGTTGGAAACTAAAAAAAAATGCTTATTTTTAACCCCTTTTTTAGCCCCTTATTCCTAAACATTTGAGCAATTATCCCCCAAACTCAATTCCAACTTTCTCTTTGTGATCAGAATTAACCAACTTAAAATGGAAAATTTTAAAGGAAAAAAAAAGGAAAAAAAATCCCCTCCCCAAAATTTTTTGACCACTTCCCTTTGTGGTATGGTACCTTTAAGTACAATTTCAGAGAAATCCATACACTTGAACACAAGTTAATGTCTGGAAACTAAAAAAATGCTTATTTTTGCCCCCTTTTTTGGCCACTTATTAATAAATGTTTTGGGCAAACATTTTACAATAATATTTAAAACTGAAATTAATTTGTAACCTTAAAATTAAATAGAAAATGACATCATAGTCATAGCTAAAAATAAACAAACTATTGGTAAATTTCCAATGGAGTTTATTATATTAAAACAATAAATTTGCAACCATAAAAGCGCATTAAAATACATCATAAAAGTATTAAAAAAAATTTAACTACATCATAAGGCTATTAAAATAGAAAATGACATCATAGTCAGACTAAAGGTAAACAAAAAACCTTCATCAGCAAAATTTTATATTGGCAAATTTCCAATGAAGTTTATTATACTAAAATAATTGGCAAATTTCCAATTTACATAATTCAAACATAGTGCAGGTGAGATATTTAAATGAGTTTGAATTACCAACCTTACACTGCTTTTAAATAATGTTCTTTACTCAATTATTTGTCTATTAAAATGGAAACCCTAGTTTTTTAACCTTTTTTCCCCTTATTCCTTAAACGAAAAAAAATAATTACCCCTTTTTTGACCCCCCCCCCCCCCCCCTATGATTCATCACCCCCCCCCTTCCCCCCCAAACCAAGCTCAATAACAGCCTTGCCTTTGTGGTATGGTACCTTGTAATACAATTTTAGAGAGATCCATACACTTGAACACAAGTTATTGTCTAGAAACTAAAAAATGCTTATTTTTCACCCCTTTTTAGGCCCCTTATTACTAAACGTTTTGGGCAATTACCACAAAACTCAATTCCAGCTTTCCCTTTGCGAAATGGAACCTTGTAGTAAAATTTCAGAAAGATCAATACACTTACACACAAGTTATTGTCATGAAACTAGAAAAATGCTTGTTTTTTGCCCCCTTTTGGCCCCTTATTCCTAAAATTTCGAGGAAATGAACCCCAAAATCAATCCCATCATCGACCCTTTGTGATATGGAATCTTGTAGTACAATGTCAAAGAGATCCATACAATAACACACAAGTTATGTCTAGAAGTTACAAAAATGCTTATTTTCGGCCCCTTTTTGGCCCCTAATTATTTAACTGTTGGTACCATAACCCCCAAAATCAATCCCCACCTTCCTATTGTGGTATTGAACCTTATGGTAAAATTTCATAGAGATCCATTCACTTAAACTAAAGTTAGAGTGCGAAAACCATTGTGTATTCGGACGACGACGCCGGACGACGACGACGACGCCAACGTCATACCAATATACGACCACAAAATTTTTTTGCGGTCGTATAAAAACTGCAAAATTTTCTTAAAATTACCAATTCAGGGGCAGCAACCCAACAATGGGTTGTCTGATTTGTCTGAAAATTTCAGGGCAGATAGATCTTGACCTGATGTACAATTTTACCCCATGTCAGATTTGCTCTAAATACTTTGGTTTCAGAAATATAAGCCAAAATCTACATTTTACCCGTATGTTCTATTTTTAGCCATGGCCGCCATCTTGGTTGGCAGGCCAGGTCATTGAACACATTTTTCAAACTAGATCCCCCAATGAGGATTGTGGCCAAGTTTGGTTAAATTTGGTCCAGTACTTTCAGAGGAGAAGATTTTTGTAAAAGTTAATGACGACGACGACGGACGCCAAGTGATGAGAAAAGCTCACTTGGCCTTTTAGGCCAGGTGAGCTAAAAAAGGTGACAATGTTAAATATATGAAAAGTCTAAAGAGAATTTTACATTTTTTTCTGCTTTTTTAGTTTATTTATATACTATCAATTTATAACAGTCCTTAAAAAAGATTGTTATTTTGTAACAGAGGAGCGAACATCCTTAATGAAATCATATTAATAATACTATAAATATAATAGGCAAAGGTGATGAGCAATTATTCCTCATGAGATTTAAAAACTTGAAAGTAGACAATTATTTTAAACCTGTGATTTTACTCTTTATACTGTCTTCATTGAAAAGTTTTATTCATTATAAACATGTGAGTAACTGCCTACTCTTACAACCTGGAAGAGCTTCTATCAAAGTTATTGAAAGCCCTGTTAATCATGTTAATTCATTCTTTTCATTCATTTAATGCAAATTTATCACACAATCCGACGATATGAGTAATCAACATTTATTTTTGGTAATTTTCTTACATGTAGTTTCCTACTCCTGCAGGTAGAAGTTGATCATTGCAAGTCATTTTTTGTTCTGTTAATTAGGTGATTTTCTGTCCTGTTTTTGCCTTTGTGCTCCAGATATTTTGATATATTGTATTAATCTTTTCAAATCTTAATTTAAATAATGTTAATAAGAAAAATATATACACAAAACAAATTTAAAATCTGTGACTGTTCAAAAACACTTTGTTTATTTGTGTTTTTGTTGTTGTTTATGACATTGTTTTCTTTCGAGCAGGGTAGGGGGGGAATAGTTTTTACCATGTTTTTCACTATCTCCTTTCTCTGGTTTTGGTGTATCTGTGTCAATTTCATCATGTTTCCTTTTCTTGTGCTTCTTGTGTCTGCAAAAGAAAACCAATTATTCAAACATAAAAAATATGGGTTAATGTCGATCAATGAAGCTTCAACCATGTTCACATTAGTGCAGTATTAATATCAAATGTGTTTTTTACACAAACATGTACTACAATCAAAATTAATAAAAGAACAGAGTTCCAATGTCCCCTGCTTTGCACATATTTTATCTATCAAAGGTACAAGGGCAATAACTAAATAAAACACTTTTTTTTTGTAGCGCTAACAAGGCCATTTTCCATAAATTTAATATTTCCCAGGGACATATCTCTTTTAAAAAAAAAGGCGATCATCCACCATTATAAAACTTGTCCGAGATATTGCTGATATTAACCTATAGTATAAGTTTTATTAAAATCTGGCAAGAATTGTACCCTTAAAACCCCTTACAAGGCCATTTTCCATAAATCTAATATTTCCAAAGGGCATATAACTCTTTTAAAAAAAGTCAATCGACCACCATTATAAAACTTGTCCGAGATATTGCTGATATTAACCTATAGTATAAGTTTTATAAAAATCTTGCAAGAATTGTACCCGTGAGAGTGCTAACGAGGCCATTTTCCATAAATTTAATATTTCCAAGGGGTATAACTCCATTAAAAAAGGCGATTGTCCACCATTTTAAAACTTATCTGAGATATTGCTGATATTAACCTATAGTATAGGTTTTATAAAAATCTGGCAAGAATTATACACGTGAGAGCTCTTACAAGACTGGACGGACACACGGACGGACACACGGACGGACACCTGGTATTTCCATGTCCCCCGCAATGCATAGAAAAGACCAAAGTGTTACCCATTACTCTGTAATAAACAGTCAGTCAGGGGTAATACTTATAAATACAAATGTACTTTATTTACTTGTTACAAATAGATTATTTTGGAAGTGGAGTTATATCCCTTAGACATTTAGATATTTTTCACTTATGTAAGTAAAAACGTTATAATTTATTGAATTATTCTTTTCTTGAACTTCTCTTAACTGCATTGCTCTAATCCAGTGTTTAACTGTTTGTCATTAGTAGCTAGTTATATAGTTGTCTTTACTTTTCATAAAAGTGTACTGGGATAATTTCATGGACAATGAAAATCTCATTTGTCTGTTATCTTCAAAATACTGCTAATTTACAAGCCTCCAGGAAGCAATTTTTTAAGGTCTTGCCCATTTACTTAACATCTGTGTACAGTAAATTTCTTTGCTTAGTTCTTGAGATCAAAAGTTGAACTCTTATCAAAATCAAAGCATCATGCATCGGTGCTGTGATCCAGCCTTTTTGTTTTAGCTACAGGTAGCCTAACTTTATTTTCAATGTTTTTCTTTATATAAGCTCCTGTAAAACATTTAGAGGCAAATCACCCCTTTCAGCTCATGAAATTCTCAGAAACAAAATGTACTTCTTCTAAGGTACTTCTGACAATCAAAGTGATCGAAATCATTGAAGGAGAGACTAGAAGAGTAATGTGCATAATATCAAATCATTTTTTATCATGTATTGTGGTGAACAAAAAAACTTGATACATTTGTATATCACTCAAAATTGCATTTAATTCAGAAAGATAATTGGTTTTTTTTTCCAGTTGATAAAACAAGCTTGTTTCCTTAAATTTACTTGTAAATGGTTGCTTTTCATAGAGGATGTAAACAACCTCAGGTCACTGAACAATTTTCAATTATGAGGAGTACTGGAAGTTATAAAAGGCCCCTGGGTAACATAAGTTAAACAATTTTAAAAAGGATGGCTTTTGACCTAATACAAGTACATTTTGTAAATAACATTAAAAGAAAAATCTGGACTACAGGCTCCTGGCTAAAGCCAGGCACTTAACCACTGAACTACAGGCTCCATGCTAGGGCCAAGCACTTAACCACTGGATTACCGGCTCCTAGCTATGACCAGGCACTTAACCACTGGGCTACAGATTCCTTGCTAAAAACATGCACTAAAACCACTGTAAAACAGGTTCCTTGCTAAAAACATGCACTTAACTACTGGGCAACAGATTCCTGGCGAAGGATAGACGCTTGAAGGATAATGGTTGGTTAAACATGTTTGAGAGCACTCAAGCATGCCCTAACCTACATGTAACACAGCAAAGCTCTTAAATACCAATCTATGAATTTGGTTTCCTGTGCACAGCATAAAACTTGACTTATACTATATATTCAGTTCACGTTCGCCACCTTTCACTTTCGTACCCTACACGTTCGCACCCTTTTGATTGGTTGTGTTCAATAATTTTTCAATCGTTTTTTGGTTAGTGTATTGCTATAAATTTTTTTTTTGTTCATTGTTTCAAAATGAAGTGACTTTCTAAAATCGATTTTTGTGTTTTTTAAAATAATTTTCTAATCGTGTTTTGGTTATTGTCATGATTGTATTGCTATAAATAAGTTTTTTTTTCATTGTTTCAAAAAAGTGATGTTTTTTTAGTTGAATATTGTTTTAATCGTGTTTTGGTTAGTGTATTGCTATAAATGTTTTTTTTCCATTGTTTCAAAATAAAGTGACATTTTTTTGTGTTGAATATTTTTTTAATCATGTTTTCATGGTTTTGATTAGTGTAAATTTTTGCAATATTATTTTTTTTTTTCATTGTTTCAAAATAAAGTGACTTTCTAAAAAGGTTTTTTGTGTTGAATATTATTTTAATGTTAAGATACCAAACCGCTATTAAACTCAAAAACAATAACATTTCGAATCTTCATTGTTTTTACTCATACCAAGCTAAATAATTGCTAACTACATGCAGAATTCACATCAAAGCTAGTTAAAACAACAATTAAGATTTTCAAACACATAACAATAACACCAAGTTTAGCTGCATAAACAAAATCATCAGACACAAAAACTTAGACTTAAATAGGCTATTTTTCTTTACATGCGCTCTTTGATCATTTTGTTACCTTTAAATAATAGAAAAGATTGAGACAGAAAAAATGTGTTATATTCCAGAAATTATAGGTCTATATAAACAGTTAATAAGTTATACTTCTTGTCTTTGTGTCCCTTTAGTTTCAGTTTACCGCCTTTTACAAACGAATAAGAATCTGCCATTTGTTGTAGTTTAGCCTAATTTTCACTACAAACTCTCTGCTCACATTTCAAAACACAAAAACGTCCAAAATTGTCTGAAATGAGAGTAAAATTAAAACGACTTCCGGAAAAGGCTAAACGGAATTATATTCAATTTAAAGAACGTGCAAAAAATTCATAAAAATTGGTACCGATATACCGATTAGTGTATTAGAAATTGTCATACGAATATATAAACCTAAGAGATACTCGTTGTTTTCGCATTTAATGAAATTATATGTCATCGGAACGATTGCTTAATCAATATCCGTCTTTGGCTTTCGAATTTATTCTGCAGTCTTCACTTCCTGTTGACGGGGAAAAAATTAGTTTGTGTCAAATAGTTTTTGGAGAAAAAAAGATCAGTTAAAGATATTTTTTTAGAAAACTGAACCAGGTAAACAATAGTAATAAGTAATTCAAGTGATCAGCTGATTAGCCAAAAGAGAGCCAATAGACATTAAACATTACAGAATATTATGAAGTTTACAAATGATATACAAATAACAATAAAAGTTAAAACTGAATAATATAACTTAAAAGGCATTTACTACCTGCTGAGCTCCCAAAGGTTATTTACATTAAATAAATTTATATATGCTACAACTGTAACCGGAGGCAGTCATAGTTGGTTGTTTCAATCTGTTTTTTTTAAGTTGAACTAGATCTTTATGTTTGGTATTTGGTTTATGACATTAATTTATGTTTATTGACTCGGAACGACGGTATCGGGTCCGTTCGCCCTGATTACATGTTCGCCCTGAGTTCTTTCGCCCATAGAGTCGGTTGGCCCTGGGTAGTTCTCCCTACTTTTATTAAAAAATATTAATATTAAGGGTATTAAAGTTTAATAAACTTATTCAGATATTTATCATGTTTATATGGTATAAATTCTTGAAATTCATGAAGACACATGGCAATATTTAAAACTGGTGGCGCGTTTTTGGAGCATTAGATTTTTTCGTAATAAAAATTCTCACTGATTGTTGTAATGATTGTCTTTGATGGATTAATTATAAAAACAACATTTTGTTTTGATAAACTCAGTGGCGGATCCAGGGGGGGGGGGGGTCCGGAGGTTGGAACCCCCCCTTTTTTTGGACACTCAATGCATTTGAATGGGGACATATGGTTGGAACCCCCCTTTATCCTGGGTTGGGAACCCCCCTTTTGAAAATGGCTGGATCTGCCCCTGAAACTAGTCAGCTTGGAATGAGTAAAAACAATGATGTATGAAGTGTAAAACACGAAAAGGATTTATAAATTCATTTATTATTATACTGCACAAATTGACTGACTAGAATGATTAAAATTGTAACTTAACAAATTTTAATAAAGATAAATACATTGTATTCCAGTATTCTACTATCATGACTATGCAAATCAAAGGAAAATAATTATTTGGTTGCAGCAATACAAATATTCGGCGAATTTTTCAACAAACTTTAACATACTCTGTTCAAATAATAAACATTATGCAACTGGACAACAATAAAAAAAAAAAATCAGGGCGAATGGACCCTGGGCGAACAGGTATTAGGGCAAACAGGTACTAGGGAGTATGTGAATCAGGGTGAACGCACCCGGATCCCGTAACGACGATGCCTTAGCAATGCCCATATTGTAAACATTGAATACCAATAGAATAGTCCAAATTCAAACCAGGGGAAACCATATGTTACAACTACGAAATATGACAAGACCACATACAATAACAACTACTTCCGGGTTCTAGGACCTGAGTCTCTGCTTCTTAAATCACTGAGACTATAAAGTTTTCATATTTAATGTACACTAAAACATATATTATCTAAGTATGTTTACACAATGCAGCATACAATATCATTCATCAATAAATCATTTCTTCAAGTAAATTCTCCTAATAAGTTATATTTTGCAAAATTATATAGTTGACCCTTATTGAATTATAAAGTTTACATGGTTTAACCCTATTTCAATCCTAATAGTAAATACTACATTTTAAAGGAACAAGTTTTTATACGACCGCAAAAAAATTTTGTGGTCGTATATTGGTATGACGTTGGCGTCGTCGTCGTCGTCCGGCGTCGTCGTCGTCCGGCGTCGTCGTCCGAATACACATTGGTTTTCGCACTCTAACTTTAGTTTAAGTGAATGGATCTTTTTGAAATTTGACCATAAGGTTAAATACCACAAAAGGAAGGTTGGGATTGATTTTGGGGGTTATGGTACCAACAGTTAAGGAATTAGGGGCCAAAAAGGGGCCAAAAATAAGTATTTTTATAGTTTCCAGACAATAACTGTGGAACAGTGTATGGATCTCTCTGAAATTATACTACAAGTTTCCATACCACAAAGGGATGGTTAGGATTTGCTTTGGGGGGTTATGGCTCAAACCGTTTAGGAATTAGGGGCAAAAAAGGGGGAAAAACAAGGTAGTCCTGGTTAATGGACAAATACTTTAGTACAAAACATAATTTAAAGCAGTGTAAGGGAGATAAATCAAATACATCATTGAAATTATCTCCCTTACACTGCTTTTAAATTATGTATAAAGTAATGGTTAATGAACAATAAAGATAATTTAAAACAGTGTAAGGGAGGTAATCCAAATACAACGTTTTGGTTGCTTCCCTTACACTGCTTTTAAATTATGTTTAAAGAAATGCATATTTAAGAAGGGAGACCAGTAAAAATATCTGCAAATGTTGCATCTTTTTTTTTTACAAAAAAATCCATATGAAGGTCCAAAGGGTCCAAAATTAAACTTTGTTTGATTTTAGCAAAAATTGAATATATGAGGTTCTTTGGTATGCTGAATCTAAACATGTATGTAGATTTTAGATTTTGGCCCAGTTTTCAAGTTGGTCCAAATTGGGGTCCAAAATTAAACTTTGTTTGATTTCAACAAAAAAATTGAATATATGGGGTTCTTTGATATGCTGAATCTAACCATGTATTTAGATTTTTTATTTGTGGACCCCGTTATCAAATTGGTTCATATTGAGGTCAAAAGGGTCCAAAATTAAACTTTGTTTGATTTCATCTAAAATTGAATTATTGGGGTTCTTTGATATTCCAAATCTAACCATGTATTTAGATTTTTAATTTTGGGTCCTGTTTTTTAAATTGGTCTACATTAAGGTCCAAAGGGTCCAAAATTAAACTTAGTTTGATTTTAACAAAAATTGAATTCTTGGGGTTCTTTGATATGCTGAATCTAAACATGTGTTTAGATTTTTGATTATGGGCCCAGTTTTCAAGTTGGTCCAAGATAGGGTCCAGTATGCAAACTTTGTTTGATTTCAACAAAAATTGAATATATGGGGTTCTTTGATATGCTGAATCTAAACATGTATTTAGATTTTTGATTATGGGCCCAGTTTTCAAGTTGGTCCAAATTGGGGTCCAAAATTAAACTTTGTTTGATTTCAACAAAAATTGAATATATGAGGTTCATTGATATGCTGAATCTAACCATGTATTTAGATTTTTTATTTGTAGGCCCCCCTATCAAATTGGTTCATATTGAGGTCAAAAGGGTCCAAAATTAAACTTTGTTTGATTTCATCAGAAATTGTATTATTGGGGTTCTTTGATATGCCAAATCTAACCGTGTTTTTAGATTTTTAATTTGGGTCCCGTTTTTTAAATTGGTCTTCATTGAGGTCCAAAGGGTCCAAAATTAAACTTAGTTTGATTTTAACAAAAATTGAATTCTTGGGGTTCTTTGATATGCTGCATCTAAACATGTGTTTAGATTTTTTATTATGGGCCCAGTTTTCAAGTTGGTCCAAGTTGGGGTCCAAAATTAAACTTTTTTTAATTTCAACAAAAATTGAATATATGGGGTTCTTTGATATGCTGAATCTAACCATGAATTTAGATTTTTTATTTGTGGGCCCCGCTATCAAATTGGTTCATATTGAGGTCAAAAGGGTCCAAAATTAAACTTTGTTTGATTTCATCAAAAATTGAATTATTGGGGTTCTTTGATATTCCAAATCTAACCGTGTATTTAGATTTTTAATTTTAAGTCCCGTTTTTTAAATTGGTCTACATTAAGGTCCAAAGGGTCCAAAATTAAACTTAGTTTGATTTTAGCAAAAATTGAATTCTTGGGGTTCTTTGATATGCTGAATCTAAACATGTGTTTAGATTTTTGATTATGGGCCCAGTTTTCAAGTTTGTCCAAGTTGGGGTCCAAAATTAAACTTTGTTTGATTTTAACAAAAATTGAATATATGGGGTTCTTTGATATGCTGAATCTAACCATGTATTTTGATTTTGGACATTGGACCATAATAGGTAATTTAAAAAAAAAATCAAGTTCTTAGACCACATTCTTTCTGTGTCAGAAACCTATGCTGTGTCAAATATTTAATAACAATCCAAATTCAGAGCTGTATCAAGCTTGAATGTTGTGTCCATACTTGCCCCAACTGTTCAGGGTTGGACCTCTGCGGTCGTTTCAAGCTGCGCCCAAGCGAAGCATTTTATTATTTTCAGGTGTGGCGAAGCCAAAGAGTTAAAAATTAAGCAAACAGTCCAAAATTATCTCCCATGCAAATATAGAGCAGTAGACTGTTTAAAAACAGTATGGAGTTACATTATAAATAATGCACCTACCTTGATAGTTGCTATAGGAAGACTGTGGCTCTCTTAATGATTAAGCAATGTTAATGGACAAAACATTTGTATATATAGTGCCAGACCACCTAAATTTAGTAACAATTAAGGTATCCAATAGAATTTAAGTTTAGAGACCAAAACCAATTAAATTTACCTTTACTTAATTTGTTTATAAAAAGTAAAATGGCATACTCCATAAAGTCGAATCAAGCAAAGCCTATGTAAAATTCTAAGAATGATATTTGGAACCTCTCTAAATACCAGCCATTTACAAACAAGAAGAATTTCATAATATTTGCTTGAAAATACCCCAAATTAAGGCTTTAAAGTAGTTTAAAAAGAATTATAAAGGAACAATTAATGTCCTGCTAGATTAATGTTCATATTAAAATATGAAACAGGAAATTGCCAGGACACAGTGTAAGTGAACTTGTGTATTTTTTAT